TCCATACCTCCAGAGGCAGAGGCAGGCAGATCCCTGTGAGATCAAGGCCAGCCTGGTCTGCATAGGAAGTTCCAGGCCAGCAGGAGCTAGCTACAGGGAGACCCTATCCCAAAACAAAACAAATCAAAGAAAAACAAAACAAAACAAAAATAATTTATGGGGCTGGAGAGATGGCTCAGCAGTTAAGACCACTGGCAGCTCTTGCAGAGGACCTGGGTTCGGTTCTGTTCCCAGCACCCGAATGGTGGCTAACAACTGTTCATAACTGCAGTTCCAGGGGCTCCAACGCCCTCTTCTGACCACTTCGGACATTGCACAACACAGGTGCACTTATATTCATGAAGCCAATACACAACTAATAAATAAATAAATAACAAATTTTTTTAAAAAAAGAGTACTCTCCAGCAAAAAAACAATATGTTTATAAATACAATAAGAAAAGGAAATGCCTTGATACAAATTATCCTCAGGAACCAATGGTCTTTGGAAATTTCACAACTTTAATGTCAGAATAGTACTTAAATAATTTGCATGAAGAAATAAATATGATTTTTGGAAAATACTTAGGTTGTTTCAACCAAATTATTGATAATTTAGAATAGTTAAAATCCTTATAAAGATAAAACATTTTCCACATATGTATTAAATCTATCCATGTAGCTGGGTTTTACCAATGCAAGCACTTTTTACAGTACCTAATTCTTCCTCCATTGTGGCTCCTTTATTTTGTGAGCCCGAAACTCCCAAGACTCTGTTGAACAGTATGGAAAAGGCACTACCCCAGACACCTAAAACAAAAGAGAAATGGAGAACACCTTAAAATGCTCCTACATTTAAAACAGTCAAACAAAAGACTGATAGCCTTTGATCACTTACCCATTAAGAAATGCAAAGGGTTTTCTTCATATTTTTTTACAACTGTTCCCATAAAAAATTTGCTTCCAAATAAGTCAGGAGCCATGAAAGTACCATATTTAGCCATGCCAATTTCATATGGACTAAATTCAACCCAATCTGAAAGCATTTAGAAATAAGATACAACATTAACAGGAAAATGACATAGACACAAGCAGTTAATAATGACTTTAATAATACCATGATTGATTTAATTTTATTAAGTTATTGAGTAAAAACATTAACCAATGCCTTTTATGTATGCGGCACTGTGTAGTGGTTGAGGAAGAAAAACTTACAGATGAAAAACACAGCATAATATAAAAAGATCCTTCAAACTGGCACAAAATGAATTCCTTTTCTATTAAAAAAAAACAGACATCTTTTGTAAAGCCCACCTTAATTCTAAAAAATGTAAAACTGAAAACTTCTGAGGCATGAACTCCATGGAGACAGAAGAAATTAAACTCTTCCTGACAAAGCATGCCATCAACGAAAATGGGAAGGAATTTTTTTTTGACATTTTCTGTACCCTTACTTAATTTTTCTATTAATCATTGATTCTCACTTCCCAAATCATAATGCAAATATTATTCTGATGCGTTAGGGATGGATGCACAGTGATGAGAACAATAAGGTCCATGCAAGGGACAAGAACAGAGCTCTGGAGAGGGCCTGCTATCAAGTCCACACCGTGGCTCACTAACTTTGCTCACAGCTTCAATATATTACCTATCTTTTCCAGATCTTAGTTCCCTAATCTTTAAAATGTGAATAAAATCAGTAGGTGGTTTGTAAGGTTAGAGTTCTTAAGAATTGTAGGGGGCAGAGGGGAAGGCATGACACATTCTAATAGCTCAGTGGACAGCAGCTATTTTTATGTTTGTGATAGTCCCATGGCACCACTCACTCTAATACTGATCTATGATCTTAGCAAAACCAAAAAGAAAGTCTGGGCTCTGACTCTCACTTTCCCTATGTGCAATTCCTTTAGGCTTCCTTTCTTAACACTGCCCTATGACACAATTCTTTTTTATTATTTTTTTACATATTTATTTTTTATGCATATGAGTATATTGCCTGCATTTATGTAGGTGCACCTGTGTTGTGCAATGCCTTCGCAGGTCAGAAGAGGGCATCAGAGCCCCTTGAACTGAAGGTATGGACAGCTGTTAGCTGCCACGTGGATGCTGGGAATCGAACCCAGGTCCTCTGCAACAACAGCCCAGTGTTCTTAATTGCTGAGCCATCTCTCCAGCCCCTTATGGCACCATTCTTACTTTCACTCTTATAATTGCCTTTCTTAATATAATAGCTGAAAGATCAAGTGCCATAGGTTTTATCATTAGACATGTTTAGATATGTCACTTATGCATCAGGCCATCATGACCCTCCTGCAGTCCATACCTTCTCACTGGATTTCTATGACTTCTTAAAATGCCTCTCCTCAGCCCCCCACCCCACCACCTCCTCCTCCTCTCTCCTCCCTACCCTCTTTCCCACAGGCAGAATAAACTTTGGAACACAGAGCACCAATGTCAGTTGAAAGCCTTTCAATGTCTTTTCCTTACACAGAGAATCGAAAGACAGCCTAACCCCATATGCCTGCTCCTCCAAACAATCTGTCACATTTTCTGTTGCATTTCTTATTATTCCACCCTACCACACAGGCCCTTTTGCCATTCCTCAGACATCAAGGTCATTTCCACATCAGTGTCATACTCCCTATTCCCTTTTGCTGTTCCATGATTTCTCTTAATCTTTAGTTTGGGGTCATTGTTGAGGATTCTCTATAAAGTCCCACTTCATGTACCCACTTCTCAACCCAAAACCCTCTGCCGACCTATTTTGCTCATTATTTTTTTCTTTCTGAAATGATAATTTGTCCCAAATGTCTAATTTAACATCCAAAGCACAAATAATGACAAAATCCACAAGCATTTGTGATTCATTTGGTGGTGAAACATGATCTGAAGCTCCTTTAGCCTTGAAATGTGAGGCAGAGGCACTCCTCAAGTTTATTTGTCCCAGTCAATAGAATATTGACATCATCTATTGGTGAAATATCAGACGTTTGGTTAGAAGACTCCACAGGGATATTCAGTAATGTAAATAAGAATACATTTTAGCTTTACAGTCTAAAATATTTTAATATCCAAAACACCTGTTGTCAAAGTTTTAGAAAAGGAATTTTAGCCTTACTTAAGGCTAGAGAAGAACATTTTCCCTTCAAGAAGGAAGTTGTGAAATTACTGTTGTGATGAGATAGCATGGTTCATTCGACTCTAAACTAATGGCACATCTAAGCTCCATCAGAAAGGCATCTGCTGTGGAATGTTTTATGTGGAGTCGGTAAGACATGACTAGCAATGAATCAGAGGCTAGTCGGAAAATTCCTGTATCAGTACTATAATTTCCTATCTCCAAATTTTATAGCCCTGTCTCAGGAACTAAAATGAAATTTCCTCTCCCCTATGTTCCTTCCTATTGATCCTTGCTTAATTACTACTGTAGGTTTACACACTGTAATTACAGAACATTTTCAAAAGCTCAGATTTACCTTGTCCCTTCACTGAAGACCTCCTCATGTTACCCAGCTACTGACTCATACATTGCAACTTCAACCTTTCTCTTGCATCTCCATCTGCTCATTCCCAACTTCCTGTTGAGCACTAGACTCAGATGTTCCATCATCACCTCCCACTATCCTTGCCTGAGTTAAAATCATCACTCCCCTCCTCTCCATCTTAACTATTTTGGTAAACTACACTATCACAGCCCAGATAATTGTTTGTTTTTGTTTGTTTGTTTCTGAAACCTCTCTTTTACTCCCTGTAATCTGTCATTACATCCCACTGGCCTTTCACATCCATCCATTCTTTCCTTTCTTTAATCCCAGGACTACAAAATGGTGACATTTTCTACCAGTTTCTTTCCTTTCCAGCCTCTCTCCATTGCTACTAAAGGACAGTTTTCGAAAATACGACCCAGTAATTTAATTTCTCAGCTCTCAAGCATTAAATATTTCCCATTATCATAAAAATCAAAGACATCTGGAAATCAAATCTTTTCAAAATTTAGCACAAAGTTTTCCCTAAATGCACACCTATTCTTCATCAATATGTGCACAAGTCCTGGAGTTCTTTTCAGTGATTTCTGAGAACAAAACTTTGGCTCTCTTCTAAACATTTTTTTCATAATTTTCATGCTGTTCCTACCCAAAGATGCCAGTTTACCTTCCAAGTTGAACTTGAATTCAAGCTAAATCACCCTGTAAAGTTTTCTATGGCTGTGCTAAAAGCTCTTTAATTTATTGTTCCATGACACATTTACACACCTTAGCTGATAGTTATATTCTAGAATACATTATTCATTTTTCCAGGTTTTACTTTTGTATCTTCAATGAGTTTATAATTTGGGGGTAAGAAATTCAAGGTGTTTTACTCCTGTGGTTTCTGTCATAGAAACTGGCATAAATCCAGGCATATATCTATAACCCTAACAACCGAGAAAGTTGTGGCAGATGACCTTGGCTATGTAACAAGACCCTGTCTCAAAATAACTAAGTGAATGAATGAATAAATAATAAAGTATTCTGATGCTGAGTCTATATTTGCTCGGGAAATGCAATTTATTTACTGTTGGAAAATCTTAAATGCAGTTTTAAATCTCAGTAATGTAACAAACTGAAGAAGTCAGAATATTTAATGGTTTAAACACTAATGTTCATTTGTTGAAAATTTTCCAAAGGAAAAAACATCTGAAGTTATTCCAAGAGGGAAGAAAAACATTCTCTGGTATTTAGAAAGCAAAGTTACTGATAAAACTTCTGTTAAGCTAGTTGGGTCCTTTGATACTTTAAAATATAATATATTTCTACTTTTTTCCCTTCTGAAATGCCATTTTCAAGCAATAAAATACAGACATGTTTCTATTATCTTTTACTTTTCTAATAACTCAAGTAAAACTACTTGACCACTTATGACATGCATCATAGAATGCCTTATCTGGGTACAAAATCCCCATAACTAATGGTAGACACAACTTGGCCTTCCCTATCACAGAGACAGCGGTGAAGGTTAATGGTGGGTAGTATCTCAGAGGCAAATTCCAGGATGTGAGTCTTTAGGTTCACATCCTACAACTGAGGATAAAACAATCTTTTTTTAAAAAAAAATTCTAGAGGAATCCAGCCCATTAGCCTCCAAACATTGCTTCTTCTTTATTTATTTTAGTTAATTTTTCCTTTAGCAATGGCTAACAACTAAAAGTTCAGAATAAGCACTTGCCTATGTAGAAAGGTCATGACAAATGCAAAAAATAAAATAAAATAATTATGCCTCCATAATATTAATCCTTATGCATAAATCAAGAATTGCCGTTATATCTCCACAAGATAAAGCTCATGGTTAATATTTTTAAAAAAACAGTGAGGGAAGCAGTTATCAGAGAGATTAAATGGCATTCCCAAGGGATTTCAACTTTGAAGGCAAGGCTGCCAAATTAAAATCTAGTGTTCTTCTGATCTTATCATAATGCTTCCTGGATGAAGGATGATTCCTTCAGCTATGCAGATTTGACTAGCATACTAGTGCTATTCATTGGTCAGTTCCAAAACTTGTAAGTCTCCCCAAGAGAATAGCTATGGAGAATAGCAGTTTCATCACATACTTATTTTCCTTATATAATAAAGTCTCAAGTCTTCTCTATGGACACCACTCTGGTCAAAGCCATGATCCCAGTGCTGCTGGGCAGGCCATGTTTACCATGGATTCCTGCTCTATGACTCCCTTCCACTCCTGACAGTCGAACAGTTAACTTCTCTTTTCTTATACAAAATCCTATTAAGCTGAAAGATCTTAATGACCTTATTTTTTTCACACAACTTTCACGAGGCAATGTGAATTGTTAAAATGTCCAGGAGACTTAATTGTGGCTTACCATTGTTTTAAGTCTTTTATATATTTTTCCCATGTATTTGTCAAAACACTGTTCATAGATGAGGGAACTTAAGCTATAAGAGGTTGGCCGCAGTGTACACTAGCATTGCTGTATTCTTTCTCAGCTTTTCTAATATTTACTGAACATTTCCCAAACAAATGATAAACTCTTATAGACAAGAACAATATGTTATAGCAGGGGAACTGGGCTAGGCTCTCCAGCCTGGTGAAACTGCACTGAACAAGGACAGTAACCAGAGAGAGCAGCATGATATTATTAAAAGAACAAAGGATTTACAAGATTAGTTTTAAGCTCTGCTATATACTTTCCATGTGGTGATGTAAAAATCATTTAGTATTTCTGAGATTTTGTTTTTTGACCTTCTGTGAAGCAAAACACTGATAAGAATTCTTGCCTGAGTGTATTCAGTCAAGGAAAAAAGAGAGATTATATTCACATCTATTAATCCATGATTTTCTTTAAGGATATGATGTAAATGAAATTACTTAGATCTATTTTCTTAAAAACAGCAATGCCACTGCATTGTATATGAGTAGTTGCTGGAATTCCACAGGAATATATGTTTCTTCACAGCACCAAAAAACTGAAGCCATAAAAGAAACAAGTGTTTTCCCCTGAAATTTGTTTAAAATCAAGGCATTTTGTCCTTCAGTCACAAGTATAAGCATTGTTTAAAAGCACTAAGCATGCTAAAACAGTCACAAAAAATGGGAAGTTCCATGCCTGCATTTGTCTGTCATTTGCCTTTTACTTCACTAACCTATATGAACAGGTATAAACTAGTTCCACGGAACCTTCTCTACAACCACAAAATCATCTAGCTCAATATTTTCCATATTTTCAACATTTCTTAGATTACAGAAAATGCATGTCTTTTCTCTAGATAACATGACTAGTAACCTCCACTGCAGGTGATATCCTGAGAAACAGATAACATACCAGCAAACATCAGCTCTGACACATCGGGTTTGACGTGGAGGCAGGTAAAAAGAGGCAAAGGGCACCGGGCAGCATTGACTTTTTCCTTCAAACTACTCAAGGTAGTGCTCATTCTCTGTCCACAGAAGAAAGAACAAAATGACTTTAAATACATATAAAAGCTATTTAAAATAGTATGTGTCAGCAAATCACTTGAAAGTTTTATAATAAAAGTAAGTTTTATTACTTCTAGAAATCTCCAGGTCTTGAACAGATGACAAGAGTCAGTTATAGGGAAATAGTTATCTGCATTCTGACACAGCTAAATTTCTATGGACTATGTCTTCATTTAAACTGCAGAATGATTTGGCAGCTATGGAGGTGGAAAATAATTACCCTCTTGAGTCCCTGGTACAGACTGTCCTCTGTCTCCTGTACTTTATCTTCAGTTGAAATATCACCCTGCAGTTATCCAACAAGTCCATTTGTTTCCTATGATCCATTTCCCTTTTTTAGTCTTTCCATGCAAACTTCATTCTTTTTATAGTTTTATTTATTGCTTTTCTTTTTCTTTTATTTATTATTTTAATTTTATGTGTTTGAGTGTTTTGCCTGCATGTATGTAAGTGAACCCATGTCATGCAGTGCCCACAGAGGAACCAAATCCCCTGGAACTGGAATTAGGATGGCTGTTAGCTACCATGTGGGCACTGGGAACTGAACCCAGGTCCTCTACAAAAGCAACCACTGCTCTTAACCACTGAGTCATCCCTCCAGTCCCAGTTTTATTTATTTTAATTATGTGTATGTGTATGTGTCTGTGTGTAGGTGTGTGCATGTGAGTGCAGGTCCCTAACGAGGCCAAAGTATTGGATCCCCCTGAAGATGGAATGATAGGTGGTTGTGAGCCGCAGGATATGGGTGCTGAGGATTGAACTCTTTTCCTCTCCAAGAGCAGGATACACTGAAACGACTGAGCTCTCTCTCTTTTTAGTCTTTCAGCCATCTTCTACTTTTAGTAGTATTGCATTAACCTCTCATCCAAAGAGATTACCATTTTACCGTTTTTGAAGGGAATGGGCAGTGAAAATGTGACCTTTCAAGAGAAAAGGAATATAAAATCTCTTCTCCACACATCGAAACTGACAATAGTTGAAGTAAATTGACAAACATTGGTTTGAAGTACAGAATTACAATATCTTTCAGGGAGAATGTACTCAGGCAGGATACATTGTTGAGGAAATAAGTTGAACTAAGGAGTTTCTGTACAATGTCCCATCTGCTTCCATGTCAGACATCATACATTGCTTTAATTAAAAGGATTACAGATTGAGCCATGGCTTACATTTTGAATTAGTGTTTCTCCTATTAACATCCCAAAGATGTCAGTAAAGGTAACAGGTTGGCCAGAGCTTTTCTTCTTCCATAAAGACTCAACATATCTTTTAATTTTTTGTGGTGTGAGAAGTAAGAGTGGGTTGTGGCTAACATTTTTCATTAGCTCTTCATTAATCTCTTCTGGTCCTTTCTCTGGAAAATCGGGATGAGAATATAAGGTAGACATGTACCTGTAAGCAAATCAAAACATAGTAAAGATAAATGACATTCCACAGGAGTCTCCAAAGACATGAGGAACTCTCCACCACAAGGTAGAGAATACTAGAAACATTTGATTAACTTATCTATATAATTGAAGGCATTAGTTTATTTAGGGAACGAGTATGCATTTTCTGTAGAGGAGACCAAAGGAGAAAAACAAATGAGATTTCTCACAGTTGACAAGAAAGACTCACAGCCCACTAGTCTGCCAGGAATGATCATCCTTATCAGATACTTGTTAGACACTGATGACAACACTTATGAATCATGTGGAAGGTGACTTGTCTGGATGCATCTCACTTTCTGTGATGATAATCTGCATGGAGAAATTGTACTATCCAACTACTGTGGATACGTGGCATTCGTGATGAGTGCTTTCTTTCCTTTCTTTCCTTTCTTCTCCTCTCTTTTCTTTCCTTTTCCTACATTTTCTTTCTTTTTAAAACTGTGCATTGGCCAACTACTGAAAATCCCAAACTTTGCCCAAGGCAGAACTCAGAATTCCTAAAAATAGGAATTTGAAAGGAAAAATCGTAGAGAAGAATGAGGTCTTCATGTTAAATGGAGCCTGCTGGTCAGCAGATATTTGGCCACTTCTGGTGATACTAAAAGTCACCACGAGCCTTACTGACCTCCCTCCAGGAACACAAATCTCTAGTACTGAAGATCCTGTACTGAGCACTATATCTTTACTTATAAAGAAATAGTCTTCATTAATAAATCATAACCCAGTTCAGGAAAATAACTTCATTTACTGTCATTTTCAGTTTTGATGGCTAATCTGGCATGCACAAGGACAGCTTTCTGCACTGACAGAACAAAATACAATGAAAAGTACAAATTACCATTCCATCCAACCAAATCTAAAAATCAGCATGTTTTAATCTACAGGCCTATTATACTGATATAGTGTCTCTTCCAGTTCTTATTGAGATCTGCTTTACTTTAAACACAGTGCTGGTTAAATGTTCTTAAGTTGTCATAAAGATTCACAATGGGTTCCAAATATTCTCCTTTGGAGGAGAGGAAAGAAAGAATTGGTAAGTTTAAATAACAGACTCATATACTCAATAACAGAACTAGAATTTAAAATGTGTCTTATCTTCTGGTAATTTTTATTAATTTTGGAGTTTTTTACATTTATTTTTATTTTATGTGTTATGAGTGTTTTGCATACATGTAAGTGAACCATGTACATGCAATGCCAACAAAGGTCAGAAGAGGGCATCAGATCCCCTGGAACTGGAGTTACAATGATTGTTGGTTGCCACCATGGGTGCTGGAAACCCAACCCTGGACTTCTTCAAGAGCAGCCATTGCTCTTAATCACAGAGTCATCTCTCCAGCCCTGGTTTTGTTTTTTGAGACAGTGTCTTACTATGTTGCCTAGATTAGCCTTGAACTCATGATTCTTCTGCCACAACCTCTCTGGTGTACACTTTTAATCTATTTATAAGATTTTAGATCTTACTGACTAAATTATTCTTTCTTCATAATAAATTAGCATTTCTTGTTGGATTCAGAGTCTCCTGTAAGCACATTGAGAAAAATTATGTTTAAAAAAATGATAAGCTAATAATGAGGATTCAAAGACACCAAGAGAAAAAAGTGCTCAACAACAAAAAAGAAAAACTTCTTAAAAGATTTTGGTAATATAAATTGAATTTGTAACTGTATCCACAGCATATGGTACAGATAAGTCATCTAGACTTACTCTGAACTCTGGTATGCTACAATTACTAAATAGTTATAACAGTACAGCCTAGAAAATTTGAAAGACACAATGCCCATCCACTCACATGATTATTCAAAAATGTATAACATAATTCACTCACATCAACAAAGATCTGATTTTTTTATAATCACACAAGTTTTAATAAATGTGTATGATGCTATAATGGTTTATATTTAAGGACATCATAAAAATTGGAAAATAAAATGTCCTTTTGAGACTCTAAGATGCTCAGCTCTGAAAATATTCAGTATATAGCTTACTTTTTATGAGAGCACTAAGAAGAAATTCTTCACTTTATTACCAAGAATAGTTGAGGATTTACCTCAGTGGTAGACTATTTTTGCCTGGTATGTATGAGGTCCTGAGTTCAAACCAAAGAAAAAAATCATCACATACTACCAAGACTAATTCTACTCCCACAAAACTACCTGTAACTTGCTAAAATGTGTACTATATAACTTCACATATTTTGCCTGTTCTATATTTAATTTTATTTTATTGAATTTTTGTGATTTTCGTACAATATAATTTAATGATATTTAGAGTCTCTCCCCTATTCCATCCTCTCCTTACTGCCCCCACTCAATTTATTTATTATATCTATCTATCTATCATCTATCATCTATCTACCTAAGAAGGTCTATAGAGTCTAATTTATGTCTCCAGTGTCCTTCAGTGTGCGTCAACCCACTGGAACCTAGCTGACCTATCAAGAGTCCCTTATTTGAAAGAGACTATCTCTTCCCCTTCCAGCAGCCATCGGATGCCAAAATTTCCTTAGATCGTGTTGAGGTTTCTTACCCATTTCCCCATGTCTATGCTAGGATATTTTCTGGTTTGAACTTTCATGGGACTTGTACATACTGTCACCACTACTGTTGAGATCATATGAATAACTGACCACCCATCTGGAAAACTCTGTTTCCTTGTAGTCATCCACCACCTCTGGCTCTTACAATCTTTCCATCCCCTCTTCCAAAATGTTGCCTGAGCCTTGGACAGCAGAAGTTTGATATGTGTGTCCTATTCAAGGATAAGCACTCTGCAGCTTCTTGTTCTCTACACATTGGCCAGTTGTGAGTTTCTGTGTTAATCACCATCTGCTACATAAAGAAATTTCTCTGAATTCTAGAAATTTTAGTTCTAAATTTGTGTCACATGCCCACAAAGGCTATACTATATAGCATGCATTTTCTTACTTCAAACTATGGTTTTTCTCCTTCCATTCATTTCCATATGTAATGTATGCAATTCAATTTTATTTTATAACAAGAAACATTAAATCTTTTTCTGAATGAGGCAGTATAAATACGAGGAAATAAAGCAATGACTTCATGTCAGAAACCAATTGAATCACAGAATGATTTTGTTTAAAGCCAAGTGTAAAGGATTTGATATGATCTTTCTGTATTGGAAGATGTCGTTAGAATCTCAGACTTTGTCATGATCAGAGGTGTACCTCTTTTCAAGAAAACAAAATGCATGTAGATGTCAGCCCAATGCTCCCTTCTTATCCCATGGAGAAATAGTTACCATCTGCTTCTACTCTTTGATAGATCAACTCATCCAATTGCATTCTAGCTCTACCTTTCCTTCCTTCTCAGGAAGTAGCTGGCTTGGGAATTTAAGCCTCAGTCTTAAAAAAAAAAAAAAAAAAAAAAAAAACCACAAAAACCTAGAATACCTCAGCCATTGGCACCGAGTCTTTATTGTTCAACACTTATGAACGCATATTCCTTACAATTCACAAGGGTGAGTTGGACATCCTTTCCATGATGTAATTGTGGCTGCGTTAGGACTTAGATTTTGGTTTTAATGATAGCTAAGAATAGAATATTAGACAACTAATCATCTATGCAGCTCTTCTAGATTAAACAGCTTTATTTGTTACCTTGGTTGTACGAGAACAGGATTCATATATAACTGAATTTATGGATCTAAGACTACTGAAGCCCTCACATATCACCACAACTTATAACTTCACAATTAGGCCTTAATTTTGATTCCCAATGATGTAATCAAGTTTCTAAAACTGAGTGTCATAAAAATAAATATCATAATCTCTAACTATAAAACACAAATAACTAGTGAGTATAAAAGTGTTTCATATATATATATATATATACACATATATATACCAATTTGTGAATCTATATTTATCTACAATTTTCAATTTATTTACATGATAGAATACCGCATTCTTTCTAAATATATTTAAATGCAAAATTTTCAGACCTATACCATGGCAGAGAAAACAAATTCTATTCCATCTTAATTTCAAGTCATACACCCCACATTTTAAAACATTAGAGACTCTATCCCTAAGACTTGCTGAATTAGAATCCTTGAGTATATACAATTAGAATTTTTATACTTAAAAATATGCCAAAGTGATTCTCATTCTCAAATGAGATTTGGTATGACTTGAAAAGAGCCTCCACTTTGTTCCAGGAATTCTCAATGCTATTATTTGCAAGTTTTCATTCTCAAATTTTATTTTAGACTATTCAACAAAATAGCACTACTCTACGTAGACAGAAAGATACTTTTATTTCCCTTTAAAGGGAAATTTCACACAAAGACAATAATTAATATCAAATTATCCCTTACGATACTATAAGATAACAGTTTTTTCCAAGAAAGAGAGCTGTGCTAAAAGCCTAGGCAGGTGAGCACAGAATCATTATCATGGCTTTCCCAATTCACTCATGCCAAGTCTCCAAGTTGGCTAACGCTTGTATTTAATGAGTCACAAGTATCATCCAAAAATAATTTCAAAAATAATTACCATAAAGGCAGCTAGAGTTATAAGAGAAGCTTTGCCCTACCTAAAATTCTATTTTGTGATCACAGTAAACTGTCTGGGAGGTCCAGGTTTTCTCCAGATATTTTCATATTATTTCATTTATGCCAAATAATGGTCACGTCTCCATAGAATACAAAACCTTACACAACACAGAGTGTAATTTGTTTTTTCAAGCCTTTCCGAATTCCTTCCTTTGAACTTTTTACTTTCACACCTAACCTTCTCAAGCAAGAATTATTGACATGAATCATCCCTGACCCTTCTTGTAGCTCAGGAAATGCTGCCTCTGTCCACAGTTCACACTTTCTCTTGAGCTCTCTAGTTGGAAAATGTCTCTGCCTGAATCTATCTTATCTATGGCCTTTGCTTCCTTATCTTCCATCTATCCCTTAGACATCTCCAGAGATATCTGAGCCTCTAATATTCAGGAAACAAAACAAGTGAGCCCTACAGTCTCTTTAAACAATGACTGTTTGTTGTTTCCCTTTCTGATCAAACTTCCTGAAATACTATACAGTTTTTTCAGGGTTCATATTCTCATTTTTTAACTTTTGTCCTCAATTCACAACCCTTGCCCTCTGGGACTCATCATGGACTTGACTCTCCTTTCTGAAGTCTTTTTTTTTGTGAGTGGAATCTATTAGAGAGTCCTCCTCATCCTTTTCCTCTTCCTCCTCCTCCTCCTCCCTCCTCCTTCTCCTTTATTGTATTTTGGAATGTTAAGGACTCCACAAATTAAACTCTTAGTTACAATAACTGATGTGGTAAAAGTTTGTAGAAATACTAAAGAAGGTTCTATAGAAGTAATAGAGCCAAAGGGAGCCATGGAGAAGTGCTAACATTAAGCAGCCAAATGGTGTAAGTAGTGGAGGAGAGAGCAACCACAAAAGATGGAAGGAGAGCAAAAGGGAACACTCAAAAGAATGTGTACCACATGTCAAAACTTTTAGTTCCCCACTCATCCAAGGAAACCAAGGAAAATATGGAGCAATAGATTTGGTCATGAAGTGGTCAGAGAGTTTAAAACGTAGGATAAGGCTTTAAAGATTGGCTGGAGTTCATGAAACTAGAATAGAAATGTTAAAGCTAATCTTTAAAGATAAGTGGTAGAGCAAAATTTGTATTACAAAAATGTCTATATATTTTAAGTGCTCTTGGTTACATTTCAGAGGACTTGTTTTCAGATTCCTGAAAGGAAAATGGAAGGGGGCTTTGCCCAAATCTGTGGCAAAGACAATGACTTCTGGTCTAATCCATGCCACTATATATAATTCAACCCCCAAGTCAGTACTCAAGACCCAGACTTCATTTTATTAGAAGGTTTGAAGAAAGTAGACCTCTTGCAACATACTACTCAATAATGGGATCTAATAAATATTGACTGCAGAAAACAAAAATCATGCAGAGGTTAACAACAAAATTAGTAAGTAGGAGAGTTAGCATAAGGGTCCAAGTTTTTCATCATATTACTCATTAAACAGGCAAGTGCCTGCTCCTTCCTTAGGGAAAAGAATAATGATGTGCTACACCCTTCAAAAGGGATAAAACATGTTGAGGTACAAAGAAGGTGGCAGTTGTGGCCCTGAGTTATTGGTTCTTAATCAAAGAATCTGTTTCAAAATATTTAAGCACCTCTAGCTTATTTATATGAAAAACTCTATATAATATGTAAGAAATGGCCAGTTGGCTCAGTTCATTAGTGAGTGGTACCAATGACATATAATACGCACAACTGTCCAAGAGAATATTGTGATTTAGTATAAAGAATGTTAGACTGGGGACCTAAAAGCTAGTTGGACTAGTGATCTTGAACAAATCATCTGGCTTATATGAGTCAGATGTTCTATGGCCCGGAAATAAAGAAACCTATATCTATCATAGGATAAAATGCCCCAGATACTTTAAAGGGTAGACATATAAACTATAATATTATGGTACATGAACTTTGCTATGTAACTAAAACAGCCTTGTAGATCAGAAGCAGACATTTTGTGATATGGTAATTCTCTTATTTGAGTTATCTGAGCAAGAACATTGGTTTTCTGTGTGCTGATGTGAGTTAAATATACCAAAAACTATATAGAGTCTCTTTGAAAATGCTTTGTGAGTATATTCATGAAGAGGCAAATCTACAGGACATGAATATTATCCATGTGGTTACTACAACTATCCAAAGAGTTTAGCTGGGTTTAAATATACTTAAAAGACTAATTAAACAGTTAGATATAAGACAATGACGCTTTTCCTCTGCTGTCAAAGTTGCTTTCCCTCTCCTGTATTCTCTAGCATCTTGCATGTTATCCTATTTGCCCTAAAGAAGAAAATGAATAACTAGTGAATCATATAGACCTAGACATGTTCGTTGGAGGACTACAAATCAGCAAGTTGTAGGAAGATTAAATTAATTATGGGTGGAGTACGGTATTCAACTACTGTCATATTTATCTAAAATTATCTTCATTGGGGCTATTCTTTCATTTTATGTCCTAACTACAGTTTAAGTTAAAAGCAGAATTTGAAAGAGCAAACGGTGGCATAAGTCATTCTTGGAGAGAAATTTGTGTTAAAATAAGACATTCTTAAGTCAACTATGCCATCAGGCACAAATATTTTAGTAATTTGAAGTTAATATTCAATTTTATAAATCTCTCTTTTCTAATGTTTGAGTTAGAAAAATTGTAAACCTTTAAACAGATAAAATTAAAATAGTTACTAACCACGTGGAGCCAGAAAGACCAGCAGTGTAGGTAGCACAATCCAAAATTCCTGATTCATATAGAGCCTTCATCACACCAGAGAATCCCACCATGGCCCGGAAACCCCCACCTGAACCCAAAATGGCCACCACTGGCACCTGCAACAAAGCAACACAGAGATTATACAAACACTTAAAATAATAAAAGTTATTTCCCACGAGTCTCAAATTTTACAACATGTACTCATCACGGTAGCATAAAGGAGCATATGTTACTCAGACTTTAGTAATATTTGTTTTTTTAAAAGAAGAAAATAAGGTTTCATTTAAGAAAATTAAGAATCAGCTGGGTGTGGTTGAGCACATCTTTAATCCCAACACTTGGGAGGCAGAAGCAGGTGTATCTCTGTGATTGAGGCCAGCCTGGTCTACATAGTGAATTCCAGGCCAGCTGAGGCTACACAGAGACCCTGTCTCAAAAGGACCAAAAAATAAAAATAAAAAAGAAAGAAAGAAAGTTAAGAATCAAGGTCAACTGGAAAACAGATATTATTAAATCTTACTCAACAATAATCATAGTAACAACCATCAGAAAAAAAGTTCTAAACTTGCTCAGCGCCTCGCTTAGAAATCGAAATCTTCATTGAGAGAAATCACTGACTACTTAGCCAAACTGTATCTCACACTCGTGTATGACTGACTTCAAATGCTATCAGCATAATTTTGTTCAGTAAATGACTACTAAATTTGGATGCTTTAATAGTCTTCGAAGCAGCTATTCTGAACATTCAAAAAAAATAAATAAATAAAGTGTGTGTCTGTTAATCCTAACTGCAATTGGCAAAGAACCAGAGAAAAAAATGTTAAAAGGTTTTAGTCAATATTTGGACCTATTATCATTAATATTTGTGTATAAATGATGTCAAATAGTTCTCACACTTTTCTAATAAGATTACAGAAGACGAACTTTGTTTACCAAAAATCTTGGGGTCTGGGTTTATGTTACCTGTCTTGATCTTCCCTCATTCCCTCACCTCTAATTTCAGTTTAGCTTCTTATCAACTTTGGGAATAAAGAGATCATGGAACAACATTTCTCTTCACATAAAAACCCATAACCTGGAAATTTCATCTGTCCAAAAGCGAATTGAAAGGAATGGCCTCTGAACAATCCAAATACATCAGAAATCCTGAACACAAAGTCTTAGATGCTTTGCTCAGGAGGAACCATCTCAGCCCTTCACTAGGAAAGAAGTTACTTAAATTAGGGATGTTGTTCTAATAACAAAAATGCTTATCAGGGTTGAATTTCACAGCAACAAAGATGAAAGAGAAAGTGATAGTTCGAAGACATCATTTCAAGTGGACACACAGTGGGATAGGAATCTTCCAGAACAAAGAAAGAATTTAGAATGATCTGTGCCTGAGTGCAAGTACACAGTTATGCTTGTCAGGAACTTGTGGCATGGAGTACCCAATCATGATGTGTCCGTTACCATATATGGGAGACAAAGAACTGAGCTGTAAAGGGAAGTAACAGAGAGTATCAAAGGCCTGGTCATTCTTTGATCAAGGCTCTGTCTTTTGGGCAAGAAATCAGAGTGAGGTGCTAGCACAAATAAACTGCTTCCTAGAAAGAAATACCTTGGTGTCTTCTCTATTTGTAATAATAGGATATGCAAAAATGGCAGTTGATGTCAAAAGGTACCAACATCAAAATGCCCAAATCAGCTCGATCTGAGCAAGAAATTACATATTTCAGAAGGATTTCTATCCAAATGATTAAAAACAATGGTCTTTATAGAAAAAAATAAAGACTTAATATTTAGACTAAACTGTCAGGATATTAGAAAACTTTGCTATTTGAGTAGTTCATTCTCCAGGCAGGAAAAAGCTTAAGGTTATTACATTTGACAATTATTGTCACAGGACCCAAAAATGTTTATAATGAACTGTTTTCCTGAGCAACAACTCTGTACACTTTGCTACATGCTTCACAAGCACTGGCATTTGTTTTCTTGGCCCTAGAAGAGACATCATCTCCATTTTACACCAGGAGCACAAGACAGTGTGCCCCTGTCAGTGAACATTTAAATTCAACATTGAGATTAAGGGCCTAGGCCAAATGCTTTCTCTTTTTTTTTTCTTAAATTAAAACATGGAAGACACAGTTGTGATTTTGAGACTTTTTAAAGTCTGATCTTTTGAGAAAGACAAACCACTCTCCTTTCCTGGAAGACAATTGTTCAGTACTGATCAGAAAGGGAAGATCTTGATTGGGAGCCAGAAAATGGGAACTTAAAAGACCCAAAGAAGAGCATAATAATAGAAAAAAAAATGTTCATTTAATTTCTTTTTTTCTTTCTTTTTTTTTTTGAGACGGGGTCTCCCGGTAGCTCCAGCTGCCTGGAACTCACTCTGTAGACCAGGCTGGCATCGAACTCACAGAGGATCTGCCTGCCTCTGCCTCCTATGTAATGCATGGTATTGATTATGTAGTGTGTGGTATTGATGGCAGCATCTAAGCTGACAACAGGTAGAAGGATAAACAAAACAAAACCAGCATTCTAGAAATCACCTTCACACACCTGAGTTTAATATTTTTAATACTATTCTAGAGAAAAAGCATGATTACCTAGCTATTATTATGGAAATAAAAGAGCCAGTCAGATACTAAAAGATTTGCAATGTGATTTTGTAATTAAGAACTCTGGAGCAGTGAAAGCCTGGAGATAGAACAGGAATCTTCCCCTACTCCCTAAGGTTATCCAGGATAGAAGTCTTTGTTTTCAAAGCTATCGCAATCCAGTAACATTTGCATTTCTATTGCCTTTACAGCCCTATGTTAGCTTACTTAATTACCATGTATATGCTATACACCTTTTGCTTCCATTCTTCACTTGAGTATAAACACTCTCCAAAACTTGAACAAGGGGTCTGATTCCTTTTATTCTTAGGGTTAGTCGGGCTAGGGTCAAATTAAACTTTCTCTCCTCACCTGACTTCGGCTGTTGGTCTCTGATTTTTCCATAACACTATCTACTGCATAAGACCTAGTATATTATTATTATTATTATTATTATTATTATTATTATTATTTTAGTCTTTTTGAAACAGGGTCTCCCTGTAGCTCCAGTTGGCCTAAAACTCACTATGTAGACTATGCTGGTCTCAGTTTCACACAGATCTGCCTGACCTTGACTTCTGGAATGCTGGGATTAAAGGCATATGCTACCCTGCCAGGTGAAGAACAGCATACTATTATTTTTACAAATATGAAGCCAAACGTTATTGTCCTAGGAAAACTTTCCCACACACACACAAAAAAATGTCAACTAGGGATAGTAGTAGTTACTTCTGTTCTGAAGACCCTAAGAATAAATTCTGACTGGATAGTCATACTAATACGTGAACGGTAAAACCGGCATAGGTAAATCGAGTCACAGACAAGATCCCGCAGGATAGAGTTTATTAGCAGAAAAGCACATGGGACAGTTCCCTTTGGGATAGAGAAGCTGTCGGGCTACAGGTTGTTGGCTGGGGGTCTTTACAGGGGGCTTCGGGGATGCAGAAGGAGGGAAAATATTTTTTTTAAAAGTTAGGCAGGCCAGGCGTGGTAGCGGTGGCGCACGACTTTAATCCCAGCACTGGAAGGCAGAGGCAGGTGGATCTCTGTGAGTTCAAGGCCAGCCTGATCTACATAGCGAGTTCCAGGACAGCTGGGGCTACAGGGAGACCCTGTCTCAAAAAACACCAAAAAGAAAAAAAAAAAAAAAATGCAGGAGAGAGAGCCCAAGGCTTATCAGGAGAGAGTAGCCTCTGTCAAACCACCCTGTTCTGTCCTTTTACATCAGCCAGGATCTGGGTCAAAAGGTGTAAAGGCGTAAAGAGTCTGTTTATCCTTTAAGATCATCAAAGGGGAAGCATGCTATGCTAAAGGGTCTCCTTGCAGTAACTAGGGTCAAAAAGTGTAAAGAGTCTGTTTATCTTGTCTTCCAAGGTCAGGGTGCTCATTAACTCAGTTCCTGCATTCTCAGGGGACCTGCTGCATTTAGGGTTGCTATAGATCCAAACCCTAACAATATGCCCTATGAATGTGTCTAATTTAAGTCTAATGGGCTATTCTCATTCAAACCTTTCTCATTTGCGCCTCTACATTAACAACCAGATATTGGTGCCCTTCTGTTTTAGACTCCTGATATTGTTTTCCCTCTCCCTCCTCCTCCATCTCTACTGCCTAAGTTTATGACCTGACTCACACTACTAAATATTTATTAAGGATCAAATCCTAAGAGCTATGCTAGATGCTGGGAATACGCAGATAAACAATACGAACCTTGTCATGTTCCTCATGAAACATATTCTAAAGGAGAAAGCAGATATCAAATGAATATTTATCCAAGTATTGTTAGGTGCAAGCATGGTAGATATTGAGAAGATAGTGTACTTGGAAGTTCAAAGAGCATATAACAAATTTGGGGACTAGGAGGGAGGAGCTTAAGAGAGAGAAGGTGTCTCAAAAGTGACCCTGGAGCTGATTAAAGAATAGGAAGGCATTTCTGAGTGAAGGTGGCTCAAGGGAACCTTATCACAGCAAGAAGGACAACCGGAGGGAAGAACCCCAAGTGGAAAAGGGTTTGCGGAGATGCTGGACTTACCCAGTTACTGGGTAAGGATTATGAATGTGAGACACACTAGTACAAAGGACAGGAACGACACTGTCGGACTGAAATACCAAGAGCAAAAGAAGCACATGAGAAGGAAACGTGGGCTCATCTTACCAACGAGACACTCTAAAAAAGAAGGCTTTGTAGGAGCTTGTGTTCATTTTTGTAGAAAATATCTATGCTCTAGTGGAGGCTGATAATACAGATGGAGAGGCACCTAGAAAGGACCTGATAATTAATATATTGTGGTTACTAAGAGGAGCTTGTAATCCATCTAATGTGGATCTGCATTTGAAAGAGAAGGAAATCCCCCCCATGGAAGCAGGAGGAAGGTTGCAAAGGATAAACTGCATGTGTCATTCTTACGGCCAGAAACTAGAAGAGAATGATTTGTGCATCAGTCTCCTCTTGATTTTTTTATTTCTCTTTGATTAGAAGACAAGTTAGCAGGTGTAAATAGAATTGGGGAAGAGTTAGAATTTTAAAAAGTAATAAGTGTTGCCAATAATTGAGCAGCAACTAGACAGGGAACTTGAGATTAGAAGTTAGGGTCTTCCCAGGAACATACATGACCATGAGTTTACCAAGGAGTCAGTCTCCTTTTCCTTCTAGCAGGCTCATTCCTCAAGGTATGGACAGACATCTCCCACTCTGGGAAGACTTTCACCTTTCCATCAGCTCCAGCATCCCCCCATTCACATCTCTGTTCACATAACACACCACTGGTTTAACTTGTTTAAATATCTTTTCCCGAAATAAGGCTTAAACTCACTAAATAAAACAACTTAAGTGTTAACTATCTCAGCCTTATCTTCCTACTCTAGGAACTAGCACCATGTCTCAATTCATGACAAATAATAGCAATCAGAACAAATTGAAACATGATTTCTCAGCTCTAAGGGTAGAACAATCAGGAAGCTACACCAATGAAATACCCACAGTATGGTCATCTAACAAGATCTGCCTAATGGAAAAAGAAACATCAAGGTGGATGGGAGAAATCTTACAAAGTCCCACCTCAAGATGAAGAGCTACAGGTAATCAATGGATGTTGAGGGAGGGAGAATCAGATTTCTCCAGGGATTAGCTCCCTGAGAGGTTATCTAATCCCAAGTGGGCATCCTTGTATTTACATCCTGTATTTACAGGTACATAACTATAAAACATATATATGTATAAATATGTACATATACATATATTTATAAATACGTATATATGTAAAAATGATAAAGAAGAGGATTAGAAATTTAGAGGGGCCCGGGCATGGTGGCACATCCTTTAATCCCAGAACTCAGGAGGCAGAGGCAGGTGGATCTCTGTGAGTTCAAGGCCAGCCTGGTCTACAAAGTGATTTCCAGGACAGCTGGGGCTACAGGGAGACCCTGCCTCAAAAAACCAAAAATATAAAATAAAATAAAAAAGAGATAGAAACTTAGAGGGACTGTGGCTGTGGGAAGAGTTAGTGGGGGACTTCGAGGGATGGAAATAATGCAAAGACACTACTCATGCATGAAATTCTTAAAAATTAAAATTAAAAAAGAGCATGTTCCTTCATCAATGTAGACAGATGTCATCTAAGCTTAAATAGGACATTCACTTGCATTACTAATCATATTATTGTTGAGATTTATAACATTTTTCTTCTTATTGTATAATGATGCATTACAGTTTTAATTTTTAGTTATGTTAAAACTAACATATATCTAAACTAAACATTACTTATCCATGAAATAAATATCTTGTCTATGTATAAGTACACCCCTTCTTTAAAAATCTGTATCAATGAAGATATAAAGTATTATGCATCTACACAATGAATGAGATGACTTTCAGTGCTAAAAAGGAAAGCTGCTATCAAACTATGAGAAAAAATGAAGAAAGCTTAAATTTATATTATTATTATGTAAAATAATTCAATCTGAAAAGACTACACACTATATCACTGTCACTGTACAACATTCTAGAAAAAGATAAAACTCTGGTGATACTATAAAGTTAAGTAGATGCCAGGGGTTATGTGAGAGGGAGGAATAGGTAGAAAACAGTGGATATTTCAGACAGCGAAACTATTCCATCTGATTCTATAGTAGTGGACATGGGTCATTATACATTTGTCAAAATCCATAAAATGTACAACACTAATCGCAAATTCTTGCATAAACTATGGGCTTTGGGTAATTATGTGTCAGTGTAGGCTCACTAATGTTAACAAGTATGCTGTTCTTCAGTGGAGTGTCAATAGTCCAGGAATGTGATGATAAATTTTACGTGTCCATTCTGCTGGATTAAAGGATACCCAGATAGTCAGCAAATAAAACAGTATTTCTGCATTTGTTTATGGGGTGGTTTTCAAGAAAGATTAGCATTTGAATTAGTGGACTCTGCAATGAACATTTTCCATGTAAGAAGATATCATTCAATACAGAATAGGGCAAAAGCGTGGAAGAAGGGAAAATTCTCTCTTCTCTGTCCACTCCTCTCTTTCTGCCCTTAGACACCTGTGCCCCTAGTTCTCGGGCCTTGGGACTCTGATACTTGATACAAACATTTCCCCTACCCAACCATCCCAGTTCTTAGACCTATACCCTTGGACTGGTAGTTACAGTATGAAATGATCTGGTTTCCAGGCTTAATTCAGATTACATTATACCTCTGTCTTCCCTGGGTTTCCACATTGCTGATGATATAATGGTACTTCTTGGCCTCCACAATATACATGAGCCAATTTCCATAGTAGAGCACATGTGCACACACACACACACACACACACACACACACACACCATTTGGGTTCTGTTTCTCTAGAGAACTCTAAGACTAGGAGGTTGTACGCATGTGTGAACAGGAGGTACTGTGGGAATTTTCTGTACTTTCTGCTCAGTTTTTCTGTGAACCTAACACTGTTCTATAAGTCAAATTAGAAAGAAGTATTACATCTAATAAATATTAGCTAATATAAGCAGCATTCAGTTTGGCCTTCCTCAAAGAGTTTTCATTTTTGAAACACCTCAAAAGCTGAAGAAATATGATTCATATTAGAGGGGGCCATTTGGAGAAAATATCAAAAATTTATCATTACATTGTAATAACATTTAAATTTCCCAACTCACATCACGTGTAGAATACAGGCCTTCACTCTTTTTCGGACCCAAGAGTTTCTTCATGCTCTCCTTTACATTCTCTTTCCTCTGTTGTCGGAAGACTTTCTCCTGATCACACAGTGCCATACTGAACCGTAGGTCTGGGCATGAGCTAGGATGGAAAACAAAGATAGCGATAAGCCAGAGTTCCCAGCAGTCAGGTTTATAGCATAGACCCATATTTTACAGCATATGCAGGTTCCCGTAGCTGGGCTGATTCATGCTGACTGCTTTCCTCAATCCACTGCCCAGGAAGGAACCTAAACAAGAGCATAGAATGATGGTTATCTCGAAGCAGCCTGTGCTCCATAACAGATAAGCTATGTTCTAAGACTCAACTCTAAACAGAAGATGAACAATCTGTATTCAGAGGTGAATAAATCCAAAACATTTTCTAGAAACAAAGGAAAAAGAAAGGTGCTATTTAGATGAAATAAGTGAGCAGCAAAGATCTCCCAATCCAATGCATTAGAATAATGAAGGCTCTCAGATGTTCTTCAACAAAGAAATATGGTATGCATTTTTGGCACAGCATTTGTCAAACTTATTTGACAAGGAATTCTTCCCTGTTCCCGCATCCCCACCACATTCATTACTCTCACAAAGTGCTTGGCTTCTGAGGAACACACTTGCAGAAATATTGTATTGACAAATTGCCTTCTCTAATGGATGACTCCCTTGCAAAGGAAGGAGCTTCTAATAAAAGAACTCAAGATCACCACAAATAGCAGCAAGAGCTGTAAGTCGTTGAAGCCCCTTCATTATTTATATGCCTCCTTTCTTCAGTGGCAGTGACAATTTCTCAGAAATTTACACCTGCTAAAAATAATCAGATGTAATGTATTGTGACAACTGTGGAAGAAAATATTACACCTTATTATATACTACAGCTGTGCAAGAGAGAGAATGCAAAAGGTTTTCAGGTTAGGATCACAGAGTATATATGTAGTGTGCTTTCCTTTTTATCTTACTGAATAATTTTTGTTAGCATACAAAGCAAAAAGTTTCACTATGAAACCCTCATCTATGTGTGTCATTATACTTTGTTCTCATGATCGCCCTCCCCTACTGTCTGTGATAGATGTTCCACCACACTGAAGGCCTTACAAATAAATCACGTTCTAAAACTGAACTCTAATTAAAGAGAGAAAGCAAAAAAGAAAAGAAAAAAGAAAAGATTAGCAATCTGTATTCAGATGTAAATAAATCCAAAATGCAGAAGCAGAAAAGCACCAATAGAATCATCTCCTTTCTGCTCAAAAAATGTAAAACCTTGCCTTAAAGTAAATTTTGTTTCTCACTGTTTTTATTTGACACATTTCTTCCTATTAAAATACAGACTAAGAGAAGAGACTGCCTGCAAGTTATCTCCTGATCACAGAGCCATACTGAACCACAGGTCTAGACATGAGACGCTATGGAACAAGGCCTTACAAATGAGTCATGTTTTAATACTGAACTACGATCTCTCTAGTGATATATGACCACTACAATAACATTTTATTCACTATTTCACAAAGGACAAATTGCCTAACTCACCAAAGAGAAAGTATAATTAATAAAGAAAAATGCAAGAATAAATATTTAATTTGATTAGAAAATTCAAACAATACTATTAAATTAACCAATAAGTTTAAAGCACTTTACTTATTTTCTAGTACTGGAAAAGATAACAATATTATTCTCACAGATCCACTTTTGGAATATAATTTGCATGACATTTTAAATGGTAACTAGGCAATGAACAAAAAGAACAATTAAACTGAACTCTGGTTTTGTTTTGTGTGTGTGTTTGGTTTCCCTGAGCAGGGTCTTGCTAAGTCATCCAGGCCAGTCTTAAGCTGGTAAGCCTCCTGCTTCAGGCATCTTAGTGCTGGGATTCCAGCTGTGCATCACCACACACAGCTTGCATATTACCTCAGATGTTATTTCTGAGATGTAGCTGTAATTTGAAAATATATTAGTGTCACTTAACACTAAGGAAATGGTCATTAAATCATAGTTTATCAAAGTATTTGGCTGTAGAGTGCTGAGTTTGATAATATGTGTGCAGCCTCAGAGGCTATATGAAAGCATCAGATCCCCTGGCACTGGCGTTACAGGAACTTGTGAGTCACCATGTGGGTGCTGGGAACTGAACCCTGGTCCTCTGGAAGAGCAGGAAGTGTCCTTAACCTCTGAACCATCTCTCCAGCCCCAAGAATTTTCAATTTAATACTATTTAGGGGCCACATTCTTTGTCTATTATAACTTGTTATGAAAAGTTAGGTATCTACTATATTCATTTAAAAATAAAATAGCACCTGCGTAGTTGTCCTCATGAATTCTCAATTTCATTGTTCTTTCTGTTCCTCAGAGGAAGCAACCAAGTTAAAGTTGCTTGTTATTTATCCTTCCAATACATTTATTATTTTACAATATAATCTATATCCTTAAATAATATAAAGGGTCATTTTTGGCCCTTTGTATTATAAATAATACAAAATAATACAAAGGGTCATTTTTGTCCGTTTGTTTGTTTGTTTATTTTGAGACAGGATCTCATGTAGCTCAGACTGGCATCATATTCCCTATGTAGCAGATTATGACTCTGAACTCCTGTTCCTCCAGTTTCACCTCTCCAGTGCTGGGATTACAGACATATGCCACTGTGATTGGCAATTCTCAAGCTTTTACTTTTGATATAAATTATATCAATGCAAGTCATTTTTCTATTGCACATTTTGTGTTTTAGAATCATTCTTACTTAACTAAATAGAATTCAAATATTTCTATTTTTGTAATGCGTTTTCAAATTGACATGCTATAGCATGTCATGTTCCCAAAAGAATCACGACAAAAAAAATCTATGAACATGTAATGATGACAGTAAATTAGTATAAACATGAGCTAGAAGCATTTTTAAATGCTAAACAATTTTATACAAATAGTAATAGAATTATAGTTCATTTATCTTTTTCTCATATCTCTGACTTTCTAATTTTATATTTTTATTTTATTTTACATTCAATGGAAAATACTACATGAAATAATTATTAGAATGAATTCTATTTTTCCTTGAAAAACATTTCCGCTCCACAGTCAATATATAAATTAAGATAGATTGGGTGGTACGTGCCTGGAAATCCCAGCACCTGGGAGGCTGAGGCAGGAGGATCAAGATTTCGAGGCCATCCTGTATAGTAAGTTCTACAGTCAAACAAACAAACAAGCCACACAAGAAGTCTTTGATCAAAGTTTCCAATACACACTTAGTAATCAGTTTCTGACAAATCTACATTGTCTAGTTGAGTTTTTTCTGTGTTCAAGAACTTGGTGTTTGTTGCCCTTTGATATTTGTGGTATGTGTTGAGAGACCATGGGAATTTATCACTTACTAAATTATACCAACATGTTCCAGGAATCAAAACGAAAGAAAGAGATGTCTAAACTCAATGTATCCAGAACATATACTTCAAGATATAAGAATATTAAGTTAATCTGTGCCGGGTTTGTGTAAAATGTGTATTGGCGGCACAACTAAAGCCAGCTTCACCACGGGTAGTTCCAGATGGAGAGAGGAAGAGAAGATGGAATTGTTGAGGTAAGCCTTAGGTGACAGTTCCAGCTGAACTGGCTATCCAGAGAGTCACCAGGTAGAAATGATATCCCAAGGTTCATTCCTGGGAGGAGCAGCATGCTTCATAGAACTTTGCTATTTGTGATCCTGAACATCACTACACACAAAATTAGCAACCAATCAGTAATGGAAATAGGCTTCAAAAATTGCAATCATTTCTATGGGAGTAGATGCATTACTAGAGGGAGAGCCCTTGAAAAACAAGTGCTTATTCTAACAACTATTACTTAACTTCAATACTATTAGAAAAGCAAGAAAAGAATATTACAATTATACTTTTGAGTTTTGTAACTATGGATGTATAGCTGAAGGAAAGTATTACTACACTATTATACATTCAAAGCTGTAAGAATTATTTCATATGTAAAGCATATTCTCTTTAACAAAAATATCAGCAGATCACTCACAGTATTCTTCATCTAATTAAATAAATGAACTTACCAAACTTCAAGAGACAATTCCAAAATCATTTCAGTGACCTATAAAAAGAGCATATTAACTTGATAACAAGACAAAAGAGATGTGCTTTATATAATGTAAAGGAAATCAACATAAAACTTGAGTGCCAGGTTAATTTTTTTAAAATGTCAAGGGACCCCTCAGAAAGTCTCCCAGATGGGCCTGGCAAACTCCAGGGCAAGAAAGCTGCCTGAAGAATTATTTGTTATGGTGAAGAATCAGAAATAATATAAATATTCAACAAGATGGGAATGAGAAACAAAATATGGTCTCTCCATGATAGAATACCTTTCAGCCAATAGAATGAATGAATTAAAGCTACATACAGCACAAAGAATAGAGGTCAAAGCAGGTTTATGCAAAAAAGCAATGTGTAAAAGGACCTGGAATAAATATGAGCAAATGTTGAAAGACACCAAACATTCACTCTTCATCATCATCATCATCATCTGCATACATATGTGTGTGTGTGTGTGTGTGTGTGTGTGTGTGTAACAATACAAATGTTTACAAAAAGCGTCTTTCAAAAGGCAAAGCTACTCAGGAAAATCATACTAGCATTGCCTCGGGAAGGGAGTGAAGATTAAAATTTGAGGTTATATCTACATCAAAAAAATAAAGAAAAAGTAGCAGTTCCATGAAGATCAGCCATTATAGATACATTTGTCAATTTTTTTCTGTTTTTTTAAATTATTTAAGTCTACATAATAAATCATTTTAGCAAGCATTAGAATTGCCTCTGCCTGAATAGTGACATGACTGTTATGTGGTAACCAACTGCTTTCTGGTTGGACTTGAATCCTCCTCTACAGGAGGAATTCATGCTGGCTACTGTAAACTTGGTCAAAAGCTCATGGTTGGAGAGGTTATAAACTCTAGATTGGAACCTGCCAATCTAGAAAACCTGTGGTTTTACTAAATGGATGGAATGCCAAACTGTCTTCTAAGTATTTGTTTTTACCCAAAGATTAGTGTTGCTCTCTAGTCTTGACCAAGAAATTTCTCTTTGCAGTAGGCAACAGTTAATGAAGAGACTCACAACTGATCAGAATGCTGAGAAGTGTCTGTGCTGAGTGCTCAGTCCTGAATGAGGTACTTATACTATGTGCTCTAAAGCTCGGGAAACACCATGCATTTGTTGTTTTCTATTGTTTGGACCTTAGCCACTGACAGGGGTAAGATGAAAACTCAAAGTAGTTTGAATTTGTATTTCTTGAATGGCTAAAGAATTTGAACGTTTTAAAAATATTTCTCAGCTATTTACATTTCTTCTTTTGAGAACTCCCTATTCACTTTCCTGCCCTAATTAAAACTTGGGTCATGTGGGTTTTTTGATTTGGTTGGTTTGTTTGTTGATGTTTCATTTTTTGAGTTCTTTGCATATTCTACATACTATCTGTCAGAGGTATAGCTGACAAAGATTTTTTTTTTCCCATTCTGTAGGTTTCCTTTTTACTTGAATGATGGTGTCCTTTGCTGTACAGAAGCTTTTTAGTTTCATGAAATCCCATTTTTCAATAATGGAGTACATAAAATCAGGTGGGAGATAGTAAGGAGGGGTATAGGTTTAGGAAGGGGTCTAAAATTAACAAAAATTCAATAAAAATGGGGAAAAAAGGAATGAATGAATTGCCTCTCTTCGTTTTACTCATGCATTGAAATAAAGTAACTAGTTCCACAATTACTATTCATGAAACATTAAAACATGACCAAGATACAAAACTAAGGTACACTAAGAATGTGCATGCTACTGAGGAATTGCCTGCAGTCACAGATTCAAAGGCCACAATGGCCAAGAAATTAACGAAAGCCCAGATGAAAGTTCACACATGCAAATGTGTAGTAAGTGGGGCTGGAACTGAAATGCTCATGCCCAGTGAGGACTGCCATCCAGGCTCCAAGAAACATCTACCAACGGGATGTGGGCTGCAAGGTTTTAGTTTTTCAAAACTAAATAGCCAACCAAACTATCCTGTCAGCCTGTTTTTAACTGAAAAGGGAGTAACATATTGACAGAGAAAAAGACATCTTGCCATAAACTCTGCTGAAAGACTTTCTGGGATTAGCCCTGCTGTCTTTAGTGCCTAATAATGTACCTTTAGACTGTTATGAGAAACAAAATGAAAATGCCCTGAAAGCTGCTCTATAATATTACAATCATGATACTTTTATTCTACCAGTTACTATAAGAACATGGCACAGGGACTTGTTCAATAACTTTGAAAAGAGCAGAATAGGGTACATTTCTTGAAATGTGAAGGACATGACCTTTGAACCATCACAAAATGCTGTGGTTCATTATATTTTTACCTTTGTGTTTCAAGGTGAGGGGTCAGGGAGACAAAATACAAAGAACTTTACAAAAAGTTAAAATAAGTCTGCAGATGATTCTCAGAATGAGCTTTCTGAGTAAGTAAAAGATATTTAAATCATCTCTACAAAAATTTGTCTCTCATTCTGTAGCCAACACTAAGCTGGCTTGAATAGATTTCTACTATGAAGTCACAGAGAGGTATTTGGAATTTATCAATAATCAAGAAATAGCTACAGAATGTTCATGTGAGGCAAAACATATCAGGCAGGCAATCTTGTCAAAAAAAAAATCTCATCATTGATACAGATAAAGTCATGGGATGGTGTGACTCAAAGAACAGTTTCTTTGTACATAATTCTAGAAATCTTTATTCATGAAAACAAATGTATATTTTACTTTCAAAGTTTATAGATATAAACTTTATATATATATATATCAACTAAGGCTCCTAAGGCAAAATGAATTCTACATGCCTAGATGAATTGTGGTTCATTATAAGTCAAGAGTGATTGTCTATAAATAATTACCACATAGTCTGTCAATGGGTACACTGCCCAAACCATATCCCAGTATATTATGCCTAATTTCCCATTTTGAAATTCAAGTAGACTCTTTCCCATAGAAGGCTTAGAAAATATTTTGTGCTGAATAGTGCTATCAGGGTTATTAGTAAAAGAAAGAAGGCATGGGTAAAACACTCTGTTTTATTGGTGTTCTGCTGCTGGTTTTGTTTGTTTTCTTTGTTTTGTTTGAGAGGAGGTCTCAGAATGTAGCCTAGGCTGGTCTGAAACTAGCAATCCTTCTGCTTCAGCTTCCCAAGTACTTGAATTACAGATATGTACCACTCTACCTGGCTATATATTCTGCTTTTCCAAAGAAATACATAAAGGTTGCCACTAAAGTGAGACTAAACTTACGGTTTTTATCTCCAAAAGGCCCAATTTCCATGGATATGGATATAAATTGAATGTATTACAATTCTCTATTGCAATGTGCCACCTCATGAGAGTAAGTATTCAAGAAAATCTGGATTCCTAACTGGCACCTCCCAAAACAACTTATGTATTAAAATATTCAGTGCTTGAATGTACCCAGTGCCTCACTGTCCTGTTGATTTAACAAATAAAGTGAAACCGGCTCTGCCACGTTTACTTTATTTGTGTTCCCAGGAGAACATCCTTTCCATGTTCATCAGCTACATTTCTTGTTGAAGATATTCTGAACCTAGATAGAAAGGAGAGACCCTTTAAGAAAAAGCAGGTAAGAGAGGACACAGAACATTCCTGTCATCATGAATATTTCAGGCTGTGTCACTATGACTCTGGTCCTGGGTCAGATCCTCAATTCCTTGTGTTTCAAGTATCACAGAGGATCAGGGGGAGGTTTCAAAGTCTTCCCTTTGATACACTATGTTCAGACTTGCTAAGAAACCTGTTATTCACAATCTCTGCATCTTTCACCTGGAACATGTCATTCAGCGAAAACAGCTACAAAAATATGTACTTCCTCTGAGGCATAAACAATTACTGAAGCTTCTTCCCACACATTGCACAAGCAGGCCTGCATTGTGGGCTTCCATGTTATAGGTCAGAACAACTGGAAGGAAGAGTGACCAAATCTCCCAGGCACTCCCCAACCCATGATACTTCAGAAGGAGCCAGAACAAATTAGAGCTCCACCTTTTCTAGGAATTACACGTCTAAGAACTGGGCTATTCCCATTATGAATTCTTGTGGAAAAGCAAAACCTTTTCTTTGCATTCCACACTAGAAAACAATTTTGATGTCTATAATGGAACCTGTTCAGTTGGAGAAGGTAGACAGAACTAGAATAAAGAAACTATTTTTTAAGTGTTTCAGACTTTAATGTAATTTTTAAACCACCTAGCCTACTAGTTCTTTTGCAAATGTTGGGAGAATGAAGCCAAGAACATCAAATATAGTGTCTGGCAACAAAGAGGTAAAGTTATTACTACATTAAAAAGATCCACACAGTAAGACAATTTTAAAATTGATAATCTATCCTATCACTACAGTGTTCTTCAAGTATTTTGCATCATATTTTCTCCATACTTTAATATTTGCAACCTTTCCTTTAAATTAATCATTATTTTGAGTTCTGATCCCACTGAGCCAGTTTATTCTCGCTTATTTTTTTTTATAGGTAGAAACAAAGAGCAACTAATTGCCATGTTGAATCAGTAATTGTTTACAGCTCTCAAAGGAATGACGTGATATTTTATGCATACCCCTAGGTACCTGAGCAATACAAATAGTAACATGAAACTTTAAAAGTAAGGGTCACATTTCCTAAGAATCGTGTTTTCACATGCTATAATTCCACCCTATGAAGGAATAAAATGTGAATTAGACAGGAAGCTATTCAAATATAAGTGGAGAGCACAACTCCACTAGCACAAGCCGGGTAACAGCCACATCCAAGAAGACACTCACAAAATCATTTTTTGCTGTTTTGATATTTTGGGGTTTTGTTTTGTTTTGTTTTGTTGGAGACAAGGTGCATCTATGTAGCTGGGTGTTTGGGAACTCAGTATTTGGCCGAGGCCGACCATGAACTCATAGAGATGTACTGCCTCTGCCTCCCAAGTGCTCGCTGGGATTAAAGGCATGTCCCACCACACCTAGCCTCATTAAAGGATTTTTTTGTTTGTTTGTTTGGTTTATGGTTTGGGGAGGAACTTTTTAT